CCAGGGGCAGCTCTGGTCAGCCTCCAGAGTCCCCATGAGGCAGAATTGGTTCGATGGCTGTGGGTTCGCTGGGAGCATTCACAATTGCCCGTTTTCCAAATGCTGGCCCGTGTCAGTCTTGGTAGGTAACAGACCCACCTTTCCACCGGGAAGGCTGAAGACCCTAAGTATTCGTTTTTTAGGGGATACTCTCCCCTTTGCTCCCACTTCAAAGCCTGTCCGTAGCAGCTGTGGCACCAGCTCAGAGTCTCATGGCAAATGGGCAGCAGACGGCTTTCAAAGAGCCACCGACTGGCAGCAATATTGACAGGACTGAATGCCGGTGAAAACGTCATCGCCAGCCAGCCCAGACTGGTGGGGGCCTGGGCCATGTGCTTGTCCAGCCTGATTCTGAGAGCTCCCAGCAAGCTTTTCTCTGTCGGTTGGTCATCCTTCACGTCATCCTCACGGGCACAGGGAACGCTGCCTGATATGTCCTCCTCCATTTGATACATCCTCTGCTACGGGACGATGGCATCTGCCCTCTGCGAGCCACCAGCCACTCAGCAGGTACCACGTGGCAGATATTTCTAAATGTTCAGTCACCCCAGGAAACTGACAGGCAGGTAAGGGTGCCCATCAGTTTCCAAGGCCTAACTTCCCCAAGGCAAAACCAGCAATTCCTCCGCACAGCATGCTAAAGGGGTACATAAGTCTCATCCAGGAACCTGAACTAGCTAAGTATGGCAAGCAGCTAAGTCCTACGTTTGCTAACTGCATGTCGGGCCGTTTCAATGGAACAGCTCAAAGGGGACTAGAGAGCAAGTCAGAAAGAGGGGCCACCAAACTGCTGTCAAGCGGACTCAGGGAAGGGCCTCCAAGTTTCTCAGACACCCCACATCCCAGGTGTTTGCGCAGAGCCACAGAATCTGAATATTCAGCGGCAGCACTGCCATCCCGTTGATGGCCCTCATTAAGAAGCCTCTGGAAATTACTCTGGAGTTTTGGTGGACAACAACAACAAAAAGATGTCTTTCCAGAAGAAGTCAGCTATTGCATTTCATCAGAAACGGCAGCTCTAGACTCAACATCATTCTCTTTCTGCCTTGGCTGCCAGGAGTCTTGCAGGTGACTGCATCCCCTAGCCACAATCACCATCTGTCTCATCTCAGAGTCCTTGCCCACTCCCTGTGCGTGGCTTCTGCTCTTTCCTGGCAGTTACAGTTATTTGGGGGGAGGCAGACTGAGGTGGCAGTAAGGAGGAAGCATAGTTATAAACCATTCCAAGTGCGTGCACTGCAGTCTACCCCAGCACTGGGCCCTTGTCTCTGAGGAGTACGTCCTGTCCAGGGCTGACTATCCAGCAACACAGGGAAATGCTGGCAGCTGGTCCTCAAGACCCAGCCAGTCTTTGTCCCTTCGGCCCTCCCTGCAGGGCAGCTCTAGTTCTTACAGGTGGGTGTCATTTACTCCCTTGTCCCTCAGACAAGGACCTGAGAGGGTGAGAGGCAAAGGTCTCTCTGAGATGGGACAGAGCTGGGTTCCAGGGCCATCGGACCCAGGTGGGGACTGGGATCCAGGCTCTCTGCTTCCCTTAGGTTCCCTCAGAGCATCCATCCACCTCGCTGGAGCAGCACAGCCTGGAATGCAGACACAGGGGTGTCTGGGAGCTATCATTGCCCAGGAGGGCCCAATCCCAGGCCGCCCCTCCTATGGACCCAGGGCAACCTTCCTGCCCTCTTTGTGCCACCTGAGTTTCTTCTGTGAAATAGATGGCAGCACCCCTCTTCCCACTGTCCAGATGTGGCAGGAAAGGGACAGGCTGGGGTCGGGCGCTCAGGAGCATTCCATGGGATCTGGGGACCTGGCGGGTCGGGGTGGGGGTTCCCGATCAGTGGCTGGATGCTTGCCCTCAGTTGCAGGCTCCCCCTTCTGGCTTCAGCTATTCCAAAAATCCCTTGGCAGGTCTGGGCACGCCTGCCAGGCCAGAGCTGCTCACATGCCACCTGGGACCATCCCCCCAGGGAACCTGAGCCGGGGGGGCTGCTTGTGCAGTACACCTGCAGGGGTGTTCCCACTCCAAATATGAATGTGGTCAGATCATCCTGTTGATCCCCAAGCACAAGCAAGTCCGCTGGGATGTTCCTCCAGCCGCACCCCCACCCCACTGTTCACAGGCTGGGCTGGAAGTCCAGGGGCCCCTCTGAGCAGTGGTGTGAACCTGGGGAGATTTAGGAACAAGGCTGGGAGCTTCTGGAGACAGGTCCCAACCCCTTGTCCTTCCCACCAAAAAGGATCAGAACCACTCACCGGGGCGTAGGGCGTCCCCCATCCTACAGCCAAGGTCGGGCTAAGGAGGAGTAAGAGGACGAAGGAGGTGGTGAGTGGAGCTGGCCCAGCCTAGAAGAATCAGCCAATGTGGTTCCTGGTCTCTGCAGCCACCCTGTGAGGGGCCAAGGCAGGGCCAGTGCTGCCTGCCCACTGGTGGAGGCTGACCCTGGGATGCAGCCCCGCCCCTGGGGAGAGAAGGCCTCCTGGGACCTTCTGGGATAACAGGTACGGGAGGTCCCTCTCTGACCACTTCACAAAGTCGAAGGGTAGGTGAGGCCCAAGACACACACACACACACACACAAAGTCGAAGGGTAGGTGAGGCCCAAGACACACACACAAACACACACACACACACACACACACCTGTCAAGCTGGGAGCCCCCAGGATGGATGGACACTGGCCTGTACCACATCTACTCAGGCCCTGGGTGGTCCCTGCACCACCCCCAACAGCAGTCAGGTTTCACACAGGGTCATCACCTACATCAGGTGATTTAACAGGGCCACTGTGCAGCCAAACAGGTCAAAATCACCAGTACCTGTTTCCCTTATGGTCAGTCTCAGATGTCACAGCATTTGCCATCAGCCGTCACATCACTGATAACCCAACCGGACCCTGGTCCTGTGAGCACACACACTGCTTGAGATCCTAGCGCGTACCCAATGTTCCCACTGTAAGACTGAGCCCCAGAAGAGCAGCGCTCTGGGCAATTCTGGGGGAGGGAGGATGAGGAAGCGGACAGAGGAGCCCAGTGCCACCAATGGCACGGCACGGGCGCCAGCACGGGAGTCTCAGGGCTGCAGGCTCCGGCTCCCTCCTTCCCACGTGCAAGTCACAGAATCTGTCCCACGGGGGTGGTTAGCGGGTCCCACGAGTTAATTGTCATAAGGGGCGCAGACAAGGCCGGAGTAGCGAGCGCCCGAAGAAGGCCGCCACCCACCCCACGGAATGCACACCGTG